ATCAGTTTAGCCCATTCATGCTGAGGTTATAAGGAGTGCTTTTTGAATGAGGCAGAATACAGGACAGCCAATCAGAGGAGAGTTTATTTACATAAAGCAGTCTTAGAGGCCAGTAACAAAACAGCCTAATTCTAAGACAAAAATAGAGATTGGAAAATGCACATGTTAAAATGAATTATGTCTGTTTTTGGTAGATAAAATTACACAAACATTAAAAATGGACCTAAGGGGAAGTAAGATATGGACCTTTAAAGTAAAGTCAAACATGCTTGTGTGGTTGCTGACATTGTATTACATATTGTTATCTATAAAAAAATGCACTGAAAAAGTAGTTTTTAAAAAAGTAAGTAAAAGAAAATGTATCTAATGTACTACATCTACATTTGGAATAGGGAAAAATTTGTATAAAATTGATTTCTGGAGATTTTGTCCAGCAGGTGGTGCTGGTAAGCCAAAGCCTTTTTTGGCTGCTAGCAAAAAAGAGCCTGTAAAATAAAGAGAAGAATGTATTTTTTTCCTGATAAACAAAGATGACAGACACCAAACTGTGTGTTTTGAGTGCAGGATCTGACCAAGTCTAGCTCTCCGACTAATAACTCAAACAACTCAGTGGGAGTCCTGCCCTCTACTACACGGCCAATCTACCCAGCGGAGGAGCTGGTCAACCGCCTGGCAGAAGATCTGCCAATAGGGGTTGATCCTACCAAAAAAGAGGTATTTGCAAGAAAGAACTAAATAACATTTTAGGGAACACAGTAAAAACACTGCTGGCTTCTATTATACAGTATTATGCAAGAGTTTGAACACCTCCAATCAAAGGACACGTTTTGTTGATTTTCTAAGTAAAAATAAGATAATACTTTTAGGTTCAGCTCAGTGATTGGTCTGGGGAAATTACATGGCTGAGTTAACCAACAAACCTAGCTAGACATGCTCATATTTTTAGTGCAAGTCAGTGTAAAATGTTTTCTTTTTGATTGAATGGCATTCATCTGTCATGGATAAATGGCTGCAAACGGAGAACTGTAGGATTGTTTGGTGTTTATTATATGTTGCTTGATTATACAGTCAAATGAAATTTGATAGGGTACTCTGATTATTGTGTTATGTTTGCTCGCATTTGAAACAATCTGACTGATTAAATCTTGTGGGCCGTGGAAGCTTTTGTGATCGGTTGTGTGGGCCACAAGTTGCAAACGGTTGGGAGTCCCTGGTCTGTGGTAACTGATCACATGCTACAGGTGCCACAGACAGAGACTTTGAAAAACACTGAAGTATTCCATTTAAGTCTTTTCACCTCCTTCAGAACATTTATGGCAATTAGCAGATGCTCTCATCCAGAAGAACTTATAGTTTTAATCATGTTACAGAGGTAGGTGAACGTGGCATTAGGAGTCTTGTCCAGGGACTGTAATTAGTATAGCATAATACATGTTTGTCCAATCAGGGAATTGAACCTTAACCTGCTGCATGGAGAGCTGTGGTGTTACCCACTATGTTTCAGTCACTACATTCTGTTGTCTTGTCTCCTCAGGAGTATCTCTCAGAGGAAGAGTTCAATCTAGTGTTGGGTATTTCGCGTCTGGAATTCTACTCCATGCCTTTGTGGAAACAGCAGAACCTGAAGAAAGATAAGGGCCTGTTTTAAGAGAGAGAGGTTTGTCTCTCACAGAGAGTCTTCATGGGAATCCCTCATCAATACGAACGTCTGAGCGACAGGCTTAGTGCAATGAGATTACACTATAGATGACTGTGCCTAATGTGAGATTTTAGATCTGTTTGTTTACATTTAAATATTTTATTTTAAGTATCCTACAGGCATATAAATAACATCAGTACAATTAATAGAATAAGAGAACCTTAGTTTTCAGAATAATTTTACTTTAAATAAATGATATAAACATCATCAGTGAATTAAATAGAAGTGCTATATATTAATACCTTTTAACAGCCAGTAACTGGACTAACAATGTTCAGTCGAAAGGCAGCTTGTTCACTGTACTGTCTTTTTTTTGTTTTTATATGTTTTTACACTGAACATGCAATTGCCAATTTCACTCCAGACCCTTAAGGAGTTTGTAACTATGCTGTTGAAATAGTCATTTGTAGCAAATAATTAGCACTAATATCTGCCAGTAATATCTGATGCTGACAAACAGCATTAACTGTTGTTCAGTGTTTATAAACTACCCTCCACTTACCATAAAGTTGCTAATAAATGAATGTGTCCTCGTTTCAAGAGCAATTTCATTATTTTATTTACTACACAGTTTTAAATTTGCAACTGAAGTTATAATCCTGCTGCTACACTGAATTCATTTTTCACTCCAGTGAAGACTCTTTTGGGATGAGATATTCTAAAGCTGATTCAAACTCTAAATGATTTCCTCTGAACATTATCATGTTATCTGCACACACATGCAAAATACTGCTCATCTTCAAGTAATGAATAACTATAACAACTCCTGGAAGGAACCATTAGATTAACCCACAAAACAAAATAAGCTTAGCATCCTGTCTAGTTTAGTTATGCTCAAAAAAGAAAACAAGACCAGGCATAATAAGAGGCTTTACAGTGATTTCTACTCACACACACTCACAAATGTCTGATTTTTTCAAAGTCATCAAAAATCATTTGTAGAGTCAAGAAAATGTTACTATTTTCTCTTGAGAGTGTAAAATATAAACAAAAAACACTTGTTCTCTAGCTGCTAGCATTCATGCTAATAGTGTTAGCATAGCATTGAGCTAGCTAACGTTACACTGGCAAATTATTTCCAAAGTGATAATTCTAAAAACTGCACATCAAAATACTTTTCCAGTTTACATTGTGCTTCTGGAGGTCATGTACTGGTGTTTGGTGATTTTTTTTTCCTAAAACAGAAACAGTGAAGAATTTCTAAATGACACTACTTATACTGAAAGGTGAGAATTTCCAACTTAAGTTAGACACAACCATACAATAAATAACACACAGTACTAGCAATGTTTGGGCAGAATTCTTTGAAAAAGTAGTGATGGCTGAATACTGAATACGCTGTCCTTAATGTATTCGGTAATACATTCAATATTCAATTACAATATGTAAAAAGTAACACATTCAGAATACATTTACAGTGGTTATTGATAAGGTACATAGGGAAAACTGCTTTTTTATTTAATTCACACTGTTCTTTGCTGTTACTGGTGGCAGTTTTTTCATTCTTATGGTAGTATGTTTAATGAAAAATTTCAAATTCTCAACATTATTTTGGCTCTCATGGCATACTTTAGTTCACTGCAGGTCATAATCCCACTGCCATCTCATGAACTAAGCAAACAATTTGCCTTAGCACAAAACATCTTGCAGACCTGACTATAATGTGGGCATGTGATTTTTAGAAAACATGTATGTAACTTGCCATGAAATGCATGCACAAGTCCATTACAACACCAAAGCTAAGCTGATTTATTATTTGTGAAGTTCTGCCATCTCTCAAAGAAAGTTTAGTAATGCTGTGATTAATAACTGATCATCACGTGTTTATCAGTCTACTCAGGCTTTAGTCAGAACTTCACTCCACTGCAGCACTATTTAAAGTGCAGTGGGAAAATTTGAACAAGACGCTGGAGAAGTGACCAACTTTCTGATAGGCTGGTGACTATGAATTTTCATCATATAACTATAATGTGTAGCTGCTCAAAAAATGGGTAAACTATGTTTAGGATGGTTAAACCTTTGCTATATCCCTTTATCATTGACTCCGGTGCTGTTTTTGGTTAAATTTAAGTGTCGAGGAGTCATTCTCCCTTTACACATGCAACACACACAAATTACTGTAGTTTCTGTAGTACATATACAGGAAAGGTCAGAGGTGATCAATTTTCTGAAAATTTTAAGGCACAAACAGTCATTCAGAGTGGTTTCGTGTGAAATAAGTCATTCTTACAGAGTCAGAACTGTTCACAGTGGTGCTGATAGGAACCAGACGTACAAAGGGTTTAAAGCTACATCACAGAAAGTTATTACATGTAATGGTTATGAATATGCTGCCAGATGCCTGAGACACTGTTTTATGATGGTTTTGAGGTAAAGTTTTGGCCTAAAACTTTTTTTTTTAAATCCATTAATGGCATAGATGCATATGCAGGTAACAGTATCCAATGAGAACACCTTACATCTTTGTGACCTCTGGTTCCTATCACCACCACTGTAAGTAAAATCTCGTTTCTTTACAATGCACCATCACACATCAGATCACTCTAATTACCTTTGTTTACATCTCAATGATTGAAATATGTGTGCATTTTTAAAAATGAGTGTAATTTTCTTTAATATACTTTGTAAAGTCAGCATGTTGGCTGTAAGCTTATACCACAGGCAGGCAAGTTGAAGAATCTACCACATTGCAGTTTATTTTCCAATTTCAGTCTAACATGACTGGATCTACTGTTCATACAATGTTCCTGAAAACTTTTTACTAACTGGTTCATATGTGTTATGGATAAAACTAAACTATGCAGATTAGTAGTAGTGAAGGGCCACCTGGATGTTTTATCTTGTCATTTATGTTTTGTCATTCAGGGAATAGTTGGTTAATGTGAAGTGCAGTTATATACCAAAGTTTGGGCACCCTTGATTAGACTATGTTTTGTTGGTTTTTCAATGTTAAACTCAGGAAATCGATAGAAATTAGGCAATACAATGTGCAGAATTGCCATTTTTAAGTTTGCTCCCTGTGGAGGATGTGTGCATACAACTGTAGGTACAGAGGTGAATTATTTGCTGGATATGATAGCTATAAAGGTTTTACACGCTGTGGACTGTACATTTAAATCAACTGGACTGTACTTCATTTCTACACAGATCTCATACATACTAAAGTAAAAAGCAGTTGTACACTAGCGCCATCTTTTGAAAATACAGAAAATACTTTATATATATATGATGATAATTTTTCACATTTTACTCAATTCTTCATTCAAAGCTCATTGTTTCTGCAGAACTTTTTAGAACAAAATGTAAATATTATATTTTAATTAAATTTACTGAATACAGGAAAAATTATTTACTTTACATATTTTGAAGTAAAAAAAATGGTCAAAGTACATGAATGAATTTGTCCTATATCGTACAAAAAAAGGTCAGTTTATCTATCAGATCATTCTACTTTAACATAATTACTGACTGTTACCAACACTTAAAAAAATCATGCTTCCAAATGTTATTTTATTTATTACCATCATAAAAATCTAGGCTCATTTTCTCTTATTGGAGTAGTGGTTTATGAGTCTCTGTGCTTCTCTGACCCCTGAGAGGTAGGCTCCATGGGTGGTGGTGTAGAAGTTCACATGAGTGGCTTCTCCTGCAAACAGCACCTGCAGAGGCTTTACAGACAAACAGTTAATTAGCTTCAAGGTAAATGCTGATCAACGATCTGTCAATAAAGTCATAGTAAAAAAGAGATGAGTCTGATCCTAGATCAGCACTCATACTCTGAGAAGCTTTATGAATACAGGCCCTGTTGTCTAAAGTGGCTACATATTAAAGTTTAGTTAATTTTTTTAGTTCACAGTAACTCATACTGTGCTTTAAACCACACTGTTTGAACTTAATGAAGACCCTGATGCAGTTTAAGTGGGTTGAGAGAAGTTTTGGAGATGAATTTATGGAAAAGATTTGGGTGACCACTGAATTGTAGTTTTTGTTAGCAACTTTAGCCTCATAGCTGCAGTGCTAAAGAAGATAAATCTGGACCCCAGTCATGTCTTGGCTGTTCGACTACATCTGGGGTGAGTGGTAAATTAGACTTTTTAGTAAACCATTCCTTGAATGACCCAGTCCTCCATGGTATATGGTGTATATATAAAGTATTAATCTATTTCATATGTAAGTTAATGTAAAGAAACTTCATTCCTGGCAATTACGGAGCACTTCTACTGGACCATTCATTATGAAATTTCTATACGACATAAAGGGCAGAGATAAAATCCACAAAGCTTCTCAGAGGAGGAGTGCTGATTTTTTAATAAGGGTCCTGTTTCTGTACTAGGCACAATCCCTTGCTCCACAGCTCCTACAGTTGCAGTAACTCCTGCCAGCCTGATGGCGGGGCTGCCACCCAAATTATATCTTGTTATAAACACCCACTGCACCATTTCAATAATGTCATTTCCTTCCTACAGTTTCTGCCCTTGGTTAATTGCAGTTTTGCAAACTCTGACTCTTCACTGTTTACCTTTGTGTAAATTTGAAACTGGTACTTGTGACCAGTTCTTGAAAAAAAAAATCTGCCTTACACATGAAACTAAAAAAGAAATAACCAAATACACCCAGTAAAAGGATTTCCCAACATGGACAAACAGTGCTAACTGATATATATATATATATATATATATATATATATATATATATATATAATATAAATATAACTGATAAGTAACTGATAAATATAACTATACATATAATATAAATATATAAGGTGGTACATCGAAAAAATGAACAGCACAAAACTGCAACTGTACCTTGCCAACTGAGCCTTTACTCTGTGGAGGAAGAGGTGCCGCTAGCTCTTTTTGTTTGTGCACACCATTTACTCCCTTCGGAATTAATGTGTAGGAGCCAAGGACACGATGGTCATGACCCCACCTGGAGATCAGCACTTGGGACACATCAGGAACAGACCAGCCGGTGAAGGACCTGAGCAGTCTTTCAAAATAAAGACAGTATATGTCAGCAATGTCTTCTTCAAAACCTGCTCTAAATCATTCCTGTGTGAGATAACATGACATGTAGTGTCATAAAAAAGGTACTGTGCAGGTACATTTTTGTTCATCAAGGTACAAACAATGTAAAGGTACCCTTGAAGGTACATCAATGGTTTTACAATCTAATTGTGCACTATAATATATTTTTCCCAGAAGAAAGGTACGTATTTGAACATTTGCATGATCTAACTTTTAAAACAGAACCATCAAATAAAAAGCCAGGAGTCAAGGCAGGGTGTGGGAGTCAATACCATTAAAAAAAACGTAACTGCAAATTAATATAGTACAGTTATGTTCGCTAACTAAGGGTACTGAAGAGGTAAGAGGCTTTTCTAAGAGTGTACAGTACCTCAAACAGGTGTCTCCCACTTCACTGTCCTGAAGAGTCTCCATATGAAGGGCTTCTCTGCCTGTGATCCAGCCACAGAGTACTGTAGGGTGGCGGGCCACAGTATCAAAACCACAGATCTTCTTGAACCATGTCTCTTTCCAGTCATCTCCTTCAGTTTGAGAAGTGTAGACTGACTTATCTTCAGGCCCCTCATCCCACACAAGTTGTATTCCAGCACAGTCTTCAGGCCAAAACCTCTCACTAAAGCACAGGAAGATCTTGTCTACCAGACCAAAGCCGAGGTTCTCAATAGCATCAAGCTTAGATTCTGGTAAAACTGGTTCAAACATGGTTGCCGCCTGTTGCTTTAAAACCCCCAAAGACACAGTCACAATTACATGGTCAGCTTCAAATACTTCATCATTCTCACAGATCACCTTCACAGGATGGCTCATCTCTCTGCTCTCAGTGCCCTGGGATTTCTCCTTCAAGTCCCAGTGGATGCTCTTCACTGGTTTACTGCTCAGGATCATTCCTGAAGGCAAACGTTTCAACAGGACTTCTAATATTGCTTGATAACCACCAGGGCCCAGTGAATTATAGAAGTCTCCATCCAGTTCAATATATTCACTAATCTGAGATGCAGACACTTCAAAGAGGGAAGAAGCTGCCTCGTCTGTGCATTCGTTTCTTTTGCACCACTCAAAAATCCTTGCTCCATCCTTTGAAGATACTAAAGCAGACTTGGAAAAAGCAACATCAAGGTAATCCCCCAAACTCAGGCTTCTGTACTTGCGTTCCAGCTTTGACTCAGAGGCCTTGGAGGTGAGTTCTTCAAAGAGAGAGGTGACCTGGTCAACAAGCTTTTCAGTGAGACGCTTCCCTCCCTCCTTAAAAAAGTAATCATCAGAATCGTCTTTCGAAGATCGTTCAGCTAGCAGATTGTGATCTTTTGCTAGTTGGAAAAGAGGGTTTCCATTCTGTCCATGGATCCAGTTGGCACCAAGTTCAATAATGTTCTCTGTGAATGGCTTAGTCGTGCAAACTCTACCTCCTACTCGTCCATTAGCTTCAAGGATCTTGATGTGCTGAAATCCTGCCTGTACCAGAGTGGCTGCTGCAGCCAAACCTGCAAATCCTGCACCTACCACCACAACTTTTGCATCTCTGGATACGCTCATATTTGTGGTTTTGCCGAGAGCAAAAATCAGAGTCTGTTATAGTATTTTGCTATGCAGGCTGGAGAGTTTGTATGTGTAAGAAATAAAATACAGCTAGAGTACGAATGCTACTCACATCAAACTGGTTCTGTCTAGAGGTGATCTCTGCAGTACGTACACAGGCTTTGTGCTCTTCAACTGAACAAATACCTGTTCAGGGAGTGCCGTGAATTACGTAACCTTTAGAAAATATACATGTACTCCAGGCTCAGGTGACACAGCCATAAGGTAGATACAATAGTGCACGTGGTGGTGCCGAATTAAAAGTTAACTGGGGCACTATGGCAACAACATCAGCCTCACCATTGATCATAATGAAATAAATCAATGCCTAAATTCTTGTTATGAAAAGATACGTCTTCTCTGCTAAACATCCAATAACAAAACACTTCATCAAAACACAGAACTCATGTATCATATCCTTGAAAAATGCAAAGATCATGCTTACATGCAGTCTGTGGATTATTGCAGTCATAAAAACCTAAACCCTTTGTTTAGCTTGTGTACTGGTCTAGCGACAGGTTGTCTATTCAGGGAGTTGTTTATGAGTTTCTCTGCTTCTCCAACCTCAGAGTAGTAAGTCATTTCCATGGGTGGTCAAGCAGAAATGCTTTTCAGGTCACAATAAGATATTTGGGTTCCAAAATACTACTCATCATTTCAATTAACGGTACAAGTGCTGTGGTCACTGCAGTGTGTACAACGAATTCTGCTCTTACAGTCTAATACCTGTTTAAAGGGCACTCTGAATATCATGACCTTTGAAATATATACTACAGTGGGCTCAGGTAACACCATAAGGCAGATACCACTCATCTGTGCCTAGCATATGTACCTGTGTCGTCATATGGTGTTGTTATCACATAATAAATGCTAACTAGCTCATTGTGGTGACAGCATCAGCTTTACTCTTTTGTAATCAGATTTTAATTACTGTGGCCCTAAAAAGCTTTTGAACATTTGTGCCATATTTAAACTGCACGAAGCTCATTGTATTGGGAAACCAAATTTCAAATCAAGTGGTATTAAGCCAACCATTCTAAGATCCGTCAAAAGGTGGAGACGTGTTTCAGATTGTTATTGTTTGAGCAGTTTCTTTGCAGATTTCTACAAGTTTGCTTCCAGAATGCCTTTCTACACTCCCGAGTTCATGATTTAATCAATGAACGTTAGTTCAATGACACAACTGTAAGAAACCCAGCCCAAGACTTTGACATCTCCACCTTCGTGCTGTACAGAACCCTTAGTGTAGTCAGGCTGGAATTCTTCTCCAGGCTTTTTCCACATGAAGAGTCTACCATCAGTCTGATGTTTTGCTAAAAGTGTTTCTCTGAAACAACATTTTGTTAAACGTATTATTAAGTCACCTAAAGTACTTTATTAAAGTTCACCAGTGCTTAAACTGGTGGTTAAACTGCCTGAAAGCTTTCTGGGGTTACTGGGTCACCTTGGGCTAAACCATCCTCCTTTAACTCATCTGTGCCTTGAGTCTTCTAATTAAGATCCTCTTGTGCTCCACTAAAATCAAACAAAAGTATCTCACATCACATAGTTCCTTAGTAAGATACCAAAGACAAACATTTCTCCTTCTTAGACTGAATAAACTCCTGCGCTTGTTTTCCTGTATCTTGTTTTTCTAACTCCTAACGTGCTCTGTCATCTACAATTCACAAGTTCTGAAAGACATAATACTTTATATAACAGGCATGGTGTAAAAACACATTCCTGTAGATTCAGTAAAGCATTGTCTTCATCAAGGTCAGCTCAACAATCCCACACCATATGGTCCACTGCAGTACAGTATATATTTAATAACAGGTAATTTGCATTTAGAATATGCAAACATTGAAATGCCATACAAAATCCCTTCTTTGATTTTGGCACATAGTTATGAATTGCTTGAGTCAGAAACGGAGAAACCGTTTTAGAGCTCATGGTTTGAGGTAGAGGTGCAAACACTGATATTCACTGAAATGATCATGATTAAACATTAATCTCCTTAATCATACAAAAGCCTGGAAGCACAAACTTAAATATTGTTCCCTGGAATCAAAATTACAAACTGTTGCTGACCGAAGCTCATTTACTAAATCAAATTATGAAGCTTAAAGACGTCAGTCTTTTGTGCTGCAGTTTTCTAATTTTATCTTTACCTTCCGATATAGGAGTGCATGAAATCTGTAGGATTACAGCATCATTGCAAATGATCCTAGATAAAATTATTATTACTACGTACTGCAACATTTAAGAGATCACAAGTAATTGGTTGCTATCCATAAAAGAGATTCATAAGGGCCGTGATGAGTAGTTGAAGACTCCCGTGTGTGGCTACCTGCTACTGTAAGGCTAGCCTTGATCTCCAGGTGACTGAATGAAATTTGGGAAAAGGGACATTTCAATTCCAGGCTTTCCCTTTCGTGTAGTAAATTAACACAGATAAGAAATGAGTACTCATGAGTAAGAACTGCCTTGTTCTTTGTATTGTAAGTGCAACAAAATGTATCAAATTCAAAACCCTTAGTTCGTTAGGGGAGCTATAACAATAATCACAAGTAATAATGTCATTTCAACTCATACAATCTGAGTTCAAGGGGAGAGGAGGGACCCTGACCCCTTTAACAATAAAGCTGGGAATCTGCTCAAAAATTAAAGATAGCAATGCTCCTATGGTTTCAAATACTTCAAATATATGTCAGTCATAGTGCCCCAAGAGAGTATGTCTTACTCAGTGGGCTCCAACAACTTTGGCTCATGTCCTTGAAAAATGCAAAGATAATGCTCATGTAGTCTGTCAATCATTGCACAGTCATAAAAATCTCCAATGAAAAGAAAGTCACAAAAGTTAGGATTTTGTTCTCTATTGACTGAGTGTCTTATCAGTGTAGAGATTTATGAGTCTCTGTGCTTCTCTGACTCCTGAGAGGTAGGCTCCATGGGTGGTGGTGTAGAAGTTCACATGAGTGGCTTCTCCTGCAAACAGCACCTGCAGAGGCTTCAAAGATAGACAATTACATTAATGTTGATCAGATTCAGCAAATCAAGGGTATACACTGTAAGCACTAAGTACATTTGTCAGTGATTAAACTCAAATTGCATTCAATACACTCACTCAACAGGAGACCCAATTCAGCTGTTTCTCATATTTCAACCCTATAATATTGGTTACAATATTCATAATAGTGATAGAGGAAAAAAAGTCATACCTTGCTCTCTGGGACTTTATTTTGAAGGGGAAGAGGTGCTGCTAGTGCCTCATGCTCCTTCACCGCATTCACATTGTGAGGAACAAATGTATAGGAACCAAGGGTGCAAGGGTCACAACCCCACCTGGAGATCAGCACTTGGGACACATCAGGAACAGACCAGCCGGTGAAGGACCTGAGCAGTCTTTCAAAATAAAGCACCAATGTTCAGAAAAACGTTCTTTAAAATCTACTAGTAGAAAATAAACTGCAAGACAACTTGACATGGTGTACCTCACACAGGTATCTCCCACTTCACTGTCTTGAAGAGTCTCCATGTGAAGGGCTTCTCTGCCTGTGATCCAGCCACAGAGTACTGTAGGGTGGCGGGCCACAGTATCAAAACCACAGATCTTCTTGAACCATGTCTCTTTCCAGGCTTCTTCAGTTTGAGAAGTGTAGACTGACTTATCTTCAGGCCCCTCGTCCCACACGAGTTGGATTCCAGCACAGTCTTCTGGCCAAAACCTCTCACTAAAACACAGGAAGATCTTGTCCACCGTACCAAAGCCGAGCCTCTCAATAGCATCCAACTTAGATTTTGGTAAGGCTGGTTTAAACATAGCTGCTGCCTGTTGCTTTAAAACCCCCAAAGACACAGTTACAATTACATGGTCAGCTTCAAATATCTCATCATTCTCACAGATCACCTTCACAGGATGCATCTCTCTGCTCTCAGTGCCCTGGGATTTCTCCTTCAAGTCCCAGTGGATGCTCTTCACTGGTTTATTGTTCAGGATCATTCCTGAAGGCAAACGTTTCAAAAAAATATCTAATATTGCCTGGTAGCCCCCAGGACCCAAAGAGTTAAAAAAGCCTCCCTCAAGAGCAATGTAATAACCAATCTGCGATGCAGACACTTCATATAACGATGAACTTGCCTCATCTGTGCATTCACTTCTCTTACACCACTCAAAAATCCTTTGTCTTTCAGAATCTTCAGAAGCAGCTAAAGGTGATTCGGCAAAGGCAGCATCAAGATAACTCCCCAGACTTAAGGGTCGGTGTCTGTCTTCCAGCTCTGACTCAAAGGCCTTGGAGGTGAGTTTACTGAACAGGGAGCACACCTGATCAACAGTTTCAGCAGAAAGCTGTTTTCCACCTTGCTTAAAAAAGTAATCACGGGGAGTTACTGAGCGGGGCAAGCACATTACTTTGCTGGAAGTCATCCCTTCAACCAACAAGTCACCTTCTTTGGCTAGTTGGAAAATCGGGTTCCCATCCTGGCCATGGATCCAATTGGCACCAAGTTCTATAATATTCTTGCTGAATGGTCTGGTGGTGTGGACTCTGCCTCCAACTCGTCCATTAGCCTCAAGGATTTGGATGTGCTGAAAACCAGCCTGGACCAGAGAGACTGCTGCAGCCAAACCTGCAAATCCTGCACCCACCACCACGACCTTGGCATCTCTAGAAGCACTCATATTTACTGTTTAATGTTGCCACGGAATGGATAAAAAAAAATGAAAATGAACACTTTGTTTTTCCATATCATTACATGTCTTTTCTTTAAAACTTGAAGTAAATTTAAACATATTGGTTTTTAAAACAGTACTTACATCAGATGATGGCAAATAATAACAGATATGCTGGAACTTCTCTACTGTGACGGCCACTGCAGTTTGCTGACGCTATAATAGCGAAAGTTATGAAATAAGTGACCTTTGGAGCTAATGTGACTTCAACAAGAGATAAAGGTGTAGACTATTTATGGGGACTCCACAGCCAACAGCTTTGCTTCTATTAAAGCTGTTGTGGAAGGTTTATGAAACTGATCTGAGTCTGGTTTTCACTCCTCAACCTCGCAATGAGTGTACGGATACCTGTTCATGCAGCTGCATAAAGGACATTTTCAACTTGTGCACACTTCAGACAATTAAAGATACCAATAAATTGTACATTCTGGTCTTTATAACTTTACAGAACATTAGGATGGCACGTAGATTGTTTTCTCTGGATTTAAATAAGAGCATTTTAATGACATGTCAATTCATAAAGGATTAATATAATTTCGTTTTATTCCTACAGCTAATTTTATATAAAGTAAAAAGGGTCAGAATCTTTACTGACATGACAAAATCACTCAGATTCAAAAATTACATTACACCTAAAACTAATCCTGTCCGAACTAATCCCGTCCCGAGTCTGGGGCTGAGTGTATTGTTACATTTCTGCATGGCAGACAAAAATAGGAACACACATGTGAGAAATGTTTAGTAGGCCTAAATCTGTACAGCAGTGGTCCTCACCTTTTTTTTCCAAATAAGCCACACATTTAAGAGAGAATCAACAGGAGCAACATTTACACAAATCACCGAAGATCTGCTCATTTAGCAAATCTGCTCATTTACCTTTATACAACATACAGCGCATCCCTAAATGCAGTTAATACAAGGTGATTCATGCAAACCTCTTTTACGTTAAGCAAATCACAAACTGCACTTTCACTTATTTTTGCCTCTTGTCAGTATAGAAGCATGTACATACCCTACATACCATTAGAACCACTAGAATTAAAACCTAATGTTTTTGCTTCGTAATGGGAATGGGCTTAAGGATACCCATTAGAGACCACTATTTTCCTTTAAGACACCTTTACATCACATTAGGAACCCATCAAATGCATCTGGAATCAGTCCCAGGTGACCTGACCATTACAATCCTTTACACTGTGATATCAACCCATCAAGAAAAGCCAAAACACATTACAAAACCACCAGAAACCAACATAAACATTTACTGGTATCTATGTTCTTCTCAGCCTGATAATACTGGGTTTAGTGGGGCATTACCCACGGAATGCCCCCCTGACTCTGGCCCGCCCTCAACATCTTTAATAAGTTAATAAATAAAAAAAAAGCTAAAATACAAACCCTTATTGTTAAATAACGGTTTCTCGCCGTATTTTAGAGCCGTTATTTAATAATCAGCTTCCCCATCTGAGAAGAGGGGTTTACGTACACATGGCAACCTGGTTGAACTCGTGTTTCCTGTCCATTGCTATTTGGATCCCTGAAGGAAACAACGAGCAGACAGCTGAGGCGGGCCGGGTAGAGAGAGGCGGTGTTCTAAGCCAAACCCCCTTTTCAGAAAGTGTGACCAGCATTAAAAGAGTAATTAGGATATTCTGATAGCATAAATCATCGTAGCAGGGAGTAAGCGGCAATATTAAGATTAGTCTGTATGATAGACTTGAAGTAAGCCTGAATTAACACGAAAAACACAAGTTACCACGCTGCAGTAATGATGTGCGCATGCTCGGTAAGACCGCTCGATAGGTAGGACAAACTGTTGGAACACCTGTTTACACCGATGTTTAGATGTTTTCATTTCTTGCAGAAATGACAGATTTCTGATTCGGGGCAGTGTTTACTGCACCGTACAGCCAAGTTAGCTACCATTCCCCTCTATCAGAGCAGTAATGCTAGACCTGCAGTCAGGCCGGTCAGTCACCTCGTGATCCACGAGGGAAAAACTCACCGCAGCTCCAGAGAAGCGGGGGGAGCTTTACGTCTTGTGTGAAGTATTTTAACCTCTTTTCATTTCCGTTATGGGTGTTATTCTGCGCAATCTCCAAAACGTGGTTCCCCTCCGACGCGCCAGGCTGCGCAGAGACGTGGAGACCCTGCGACACATTCTGGGGGTCCAGAAATTTGATCTGGGCATCATCTGCGTGGACAACCGCAAAATACAGCATCTCAACAGGCTCTACAGGAAGAAGAACGAGCCCACAGACGTGCTGTCCTTCCCCTTCTATGAGGTAAGCTAAAGGTACTAAAACCTGAACAGCCTTTATATACGCCGGTCACTGTCTGAGGATCAGCGAACAGTCTACACGAACAAGGTCATCTTCTTGTTCGGATTTTCCCGTTCCACCTTAAATGGTACATTTAGGAACGTCAGAATGCAACTGCTGCACCATTTAAGGTGGAACGGGAAAATCCGAACAAGAAGCTGGCGAATAGGCAAACCGCTTCAGCCTCGTGCAGTCTGCTGTGGCAGTTCATATTAAACTGTAGAGACAACTCTTCAGCTGACTCTTACAAAAGAGGGTACCTCCTGAAGGACCTGCGGCCAGGGAAGCTGCCATGTGCCCTTCACAGAGATGAGTTTAATCTAGGAGATGTTTTCCTGGGGGTGGAGTATGTAAAGCAGCAGTGTAAAGAATCATCCTGCGATTTTCATGGCACTCTGACAGTAAGTATCTCTGAATGGTGATTCATATGAAAAGGCCATATACAAAACATGTGCCATGACGTTTATTGTGTTGTTCAACAGGTGGTCGCTGCACATGGAATCTGTCACTTACTGGGGTACAGACATGAGACAGAAGAGGAGTGGGATGAGGTATGAATGACAGTAATGCATCACAGGGGAATTCCACTCATTTTTCAAAATTTCTGCATAATTCAGTTGTTGAGATGTAAGCCAGGTCGGAGTGGTTTGATGCGAAAAGCTGCATTCTAGAGAATCTTGGATTCAGTGGTGGTGAAAGGAACCAGGGGTCACAATACCTACAACTCAAATATAGCCATTTTATTTACGATACAAAATAACCAGTGAAGCTACACTACAGGGTTTTATGTAACACTGGGTACTATTTTTCCCATAGAACGCCTTGCATGTACCTCTCTGCCATGAATGGCTTTTGAAAAATACAATTTATGCCAAAATCTACTCAAAACTACTGTAAAACATAAGAGCAGCACATTAATAACTTTCATGTTACAACTTTCTGAGAGGTAGTTTTACAGACATTCAACTCTTCAGATGTCTGGTTCCCATCATCACCATGGAGAATAATTCTTACAGTAAAAGAAGCTGCAGGTCTGTCAGCTGCCACCATCAGGTGAAAGGAAGAACTGCAAAGTACTGGCTGGCAGGCTGCTTAAAATACACTGAAACAGACGCAGGGGGCCAATTAAAAATCTGTCTGTGGGCTGCATTTGGCCTTGGGACTGGACTTTGGACACCCCTGGTCTATGCCAAGTGACTTATTTAGGACCTCATTCTCTCAGACACTCAATTCCAGATTCCAAAATAACTGATACATGTAATGTGACATGCCTAAACATGAATTAAATGGAATTAACTTAAGATAGATTTTTGGTAAGTCTAAGAAAATTAGTCTGTCATGCCTGGAAAAATACAGCAGCTCATGTTCCAAATTTTCTATAATCAAGTGTTAAAATAAAATGAATTAAAATAAATTTTTAATGTACTTTGTGGGAAAAGTATACAAAGTGTTGTTATTGTTCTGTTCACAGATGTTTCAAAGAGAAAGTTATATTCTGAGCGAATTCAACAGGCTGACTGGCAGTCATCTCGAACCTTTAACAAAAAGAAGCACCCAAGACAGATGACAAGCTACCAGAATTAATGGACTTGAACAAACGAAGAATAAAGGACAATCGCCCCCAACTTTCTCTATTCCTGAGACTTTTGATGTAATAATTATTTTTGATTTCAATAATTCAAGCGATTTGGCATTTGTTTTCTAAATAAATTTTATTTTTAAAATGCGCTTTAGGAATTCAAAGATTGAAACACTAAGCAACTGATAATTTTATACCACTGTTTTTTAGACTGTTCCTTAAAACACCATACAGAGTTCACTATTCAGCCCACTCTTGTTAACGCAGTCAGAAAAAAAAAGCAAAAACAGAAAAGCGTAAATAAAAGTTCTGGAGATGTAATTACTGAACATATTAAAACAGAGGACAATGTAACCAGACAGTGGTTTACCCAGTAAAATAAATATTCACATCTGCTGGCCTCACAGGAAGCAAAGTCACACTGGAATAGCTTTTCTAAAGGTGTATGCATTGTTTCTGGCTTCATTATGAGGAAAGATGTCCTACCAAAAAAAAAAAAAGTGCAACATCCTCAAAGTAAAGCTCTATACAGGTGGAAAGAAACAGTACTTTACTGGGTGTGTATCTGAGGATCACAAAGAAGCCTTCAAAAGTGTCCTTTAAAAAAACAAAGACAAGCTACATTAATCATTTAGCTTGTTAGATTATACTTATAAAATGATTAAAATAACAATAAACAGTCAGTAAAGCCTTGAATATAAACTGGAACCCCTTCCCCCTCTCATCGCTATAGGACAGACATATAAAAGCCAACTGGCAAAGTAAATATTGCACCACATTTTCAGCTGCATATCAAACATGAAACAGATGCCCCATACCACCCTTAAACATATAAGAATAAATCTTTATATTCAATAGATCATAAAGAATTTTGGAAAAGTTGAAAAAGAAACAGCTCAAGAGAGACAAACACTCCCTGACCCTCAGACATTTGCTCTGAATTTATTAATGCATAAAGGCTTCTGCTCCACCAAGGGACTTTATTTTATCAAAGGCAATATTCAGTTAATAGGAAGAATTGGAAAAATAGAAGAACAAATGTCTCAAGGCTGAATTTCATATCCTTTAGAAACCCAGTATGTTGAGTTTATTTTATTTATTTCTTGTCTTTTCCCATAAACTTTCGTATCTACACAAGCTTGAGGGACATCAATACTGAAGTCTACTCTAGAAACAGTGACAATATTTCACAACAGGGAAAAGGAGAAATGAAAAAGAGAAAAAAGGAAAGAAAGTGCCTGAAGTAGGTGAGCGTGTGTGGACGGTGATCAGTAGTATTGGACAGAGATGTTCTACCCTAGACTCAGCTCATCCGTTCATCACCACAAGTATCACAACAGCGCCAGGCTGCAGCTAGGGCCTGAAAACGAAGCCTCTTATAAAGGCTGCAGGACTGTGCGGCTGGCATCGCTGCTCCCTCCTGCCCTCTCCAGCTCTGACAGCTCCTCAAACACGTTCCTGAAGAGAGGACAGAGGCTGTCACGTTTACATACAAATGCAGAATCAGTGCAGTTTGAGCAGGGCTTTTGATTCTGGTAATTCTTGGTAATCCTTTCGTATTCATAGATGTATTTAAACAAACAAAAGCAGCAACCCCATCATACTGCATTTTTTCCCCCCATCTTGAACCTCCTAAGCTGTGCTGTGATTTGGTGCGCAAGTACATGGGTCATAGCTAAATGGGGACTAGGACTTTGTCATACAACAGGTGTGTATACACTGTTAATCAGTTGTAAATGCTATTTCAAAGAACCCATATGCTACTTTTTTTCTTGAATTTAATTTTTATTCCCACTGAGCTCCAGTTTGTGTGGGCTTATGTACCAAGGACAGTCATAATTCATTTTACATGACCATTTTCCAACCTCTTTTTCTTCCTTACACTTAAACAAGCATTTTTTAATTACTGTGTCTTTATGACTGATATGTAAACAAAACTTTGTTCTGATTGGCTGCCCTCTCTTGGTCCTTAGTCAAAAAGTTCAGGCTGAAACACTCCTTATAACTTCAGTCTGAATGTGCAGGGATAAAGTACCATAGGCTGAATAGACATTTCAAATGTGATGGTTTACGTGACATCACAAAAAAGTGTATTCAAAACTGGCTGTCTTTGCAGCTTAGTTTCAATATACAGACTTGGCAATGAATGTTTAAAATTGGTACTACATCATGCCCATTTCTAAAAAGTGTGAAAAAAACTGATACATGCCAAGTAAGTACAATTAACCTGCTAATGGCATTATTGCTGAACAAACAGATGGGTTGAAAACCTACTTGTGCATGTAAAAGAAAATGTATCCACTTCTGTCTCTGTCTCTCTGAACAGTAGACTCCTGGGTACGGGACACGTCTAAATCATTGTAAGTTAGCCAGGACTGCTTCTTCATGTCATAAACATCGCTTATGTAGTGTCCTGAAGGTAAAAAGAATAAATACTCAATGACGCTTGGGCTAAAAAGAGCACAGACTGTAACATTATTTGAAAAATATAGGGAAAGTGAGCGTTCAGCAGATTTCTATGTGGGCAAGCACCTGCATGTTTTCATTTTATGTAACCATTTTAGGGGTTTTGATTGCAAAAACAATACAAATATTATACAGAAAGTGACTGAAAAGTTATTCCTACCTGATGATGAGCTAGTGCCAATGTGACTGACCACACTGATGAGTCTGAAGGAGTTGATGAGCTCTCCACTCTGCAGACGAGATATTTCGAATAAATATTTAATACGATTTACTTATAATTTTGACAAAAGTATGCCAAAATTGCTCAAGCATAAAATCAAAAAAGGGATTTATTTTTATTATTACTATATTAATTTGTTCACACAAGCTACTAGAGTTGTACCTCAGCATTTCTCTTTAGTTGCTCTGCCTCCGCTTCACTGTACTCCATGTCCAGAGCATCCTCATTGCCCGAGTCATCATCAGAGCACATCAAATCAGGAAGGGAGTTGTTGAACTCTTAGAAAGCCAAAGGTCAAAAGGTAAGAAATATACAACAAGAGAAAAAAACAAATTCATAATATAATTACTGCAAGTAACTCTACCACCCTACCTTGCAAGCTGAGCTCCGTTGCTCTCTTCAGATCATCATCCTCCCTCATCTCCCTTGCCTCCTGTGCATAGATATGAACTACATATTAAGCATTTACCTTCTACACAAAACTGACATTGTGAATACAAATTCCACATGTAAGATCCACATGGATATTACAATTCCCCAAGCATCTGCCATGTCAATTATATTTTTAAAGTCAAAAACAAACTGGAGTGGTTGGGTAAAAAGGCCGTACATGTTCCTGTAAGCTCTGCGCAAGAGCCTGTTGTAACTCCTGCTCTTCACGCTCCTGGTCCAAATTGTACTGCTGTACCCAGTCCAGCTCACCCTGAGACCCATCTGGAGTCTGATTCTCCTTATTCTCATCCATAGTCAGGTCCAAAGAGCCCAGCACATCTGAGTGTTACACAATGACATTTCAGAGGATCACAACCACAAATACACATTCAATCTGATTTTAACCAATTAGACTGAACATATCCACTGAATGGAATAAACAGATGTGTTTTTCAAAAACAGTCACTAAGCATTACACACTGTAATACACATACTCTGACATCTAATAAGCCTAAGAGTAAGCGGTGCTATGTTTAAAAAATATGATCAAAAACTATGAATCCAATGATTTGTATAAGTCATTTCATATACTGTGATGTGACACTTCTAGTACCTCCTGATTGTTTATCGCCCTCCAGCATGTCCAAATGCTGAGTTAGCTCCTGAGCATCTGTGTCTCCAAAGCCTGTATCAGGGCTACTGGTTGGTTCATTATCATGTGGCCCAGAAAGACCGGTGTCATGGCGACTCATCTCGAGAACTGCAGCCAGCATTTCATCATCATTCATGCCTGTAAATTCTGTGTGTTCCACTGGACCACTTTGCTGCACCTGAACAAGATGGAGAAAGTTACTTGAATTATAAAAGTTCCAGTAAGGTATAGATTGTCCATACTCTGACCTACAGGTCTAAGGGCACTGAGCTACGCTGTGTGAAATTTGCTATATAAACTTGCTTTGGAAAACAAGCCACATAATCAACACTGATGTGAAAACATTCCACCCCTACCCAAAAATAAGAGAAATACTTGTGTACCATCTCACCAATGGATACCAAGTCAAAGATGAGTCGGCCAGCTCACCTCCTCTATTCTGTCATCATCTGGGAGGGATTCACCAAGCCGATGTTTGCAATTAACTTTCCGTGTTAGATCCTCTTCACTATCGGAGTCACATAAGATGCTGCCCGTGTTCTCAGACTTTATTGAACCTTTCCTGTAAATACAAAAATATTTACCATTTACCGCACCTGATACTCAAAAGGTAGAAAATGTAAGGTACGGCTTAATGGTACACCTGTTGCCTCACCGTAGCACTGAGGAGTTCACAGACTGTGATGTTTTCAGTGTTCTAGACCTGTAATGACATGTAGCACATATAGAGCGTTAGAGACTGAAGCTAGGTGTACCTAGCTTTCAGTTCTGCTTTTAACATAACATTTTGCCCTTTCTGACCAATTTGCACAACCACAAGCAAATTTCCAGGAGCTTGACTGCGACAGACTGTCCATATAGATGATGTGGTGGCTGAGAGGGGAAGCAATCTTTAGTTTTCTAATCTAGCTTCAAAATGAGCAGATGCCTCCTTATATTTTCAAATGTTTGATTTTTAAAACTGAAAATATTCACATTCATGAGTATTGTGACACCAGTAACAATTGGGAGAGTGATTAGGGCAATAGCTCAAAAATATTCTGCTATAATACTGCATTTGTAGCTATTGTGCTTCCAAGATAATAAAAAATATATAAAATGTATAAAATATAACCACTTTACAAAACGTCCATCTTTAAACTTTTTTTTTGTATGTTATGAAAAAAATTCCCTACAGGGAATTTTAATGGCGTTTCAAAGAGTCAAACACAACCAGCAAATGACGCAGGTCTGCACCTTCCCTCCACATATTAACTCTGTGTGTTCAATGAACTGCAGCAATGGAGGAGCTGCTTGTTGAACAGTCAACAAGTAAAAGTCACTACTGACACACAGAGACTGAGAGCCAGATGCTAGATTGAATGATGTACAGAGTCTTACAGGGCTGTCTGAGCATTCCAGCCTAGGCTGAGCGGGGGGCGTGTATTCTCTGTGCAGTGGGAGAGCAGGGTGAGGTATTTCGGGATCAGAACCTGCTGGCCTAACTTGCTGTTGAGAGACAGCTGTGCATTGTAACTGTACCGCTTCAGATGAAGAATCAGCACCCTGGGAAACAGAGACAAAATGCTTACGTTGGATATTCTGAATTTTGCAGAGATGAAAA